CAACAATTGGAGCATTACCTCGAGCCGAGTGTCACGCACAGTTTATTGGCTTCGACGCGGGAAGACACGAGAAGCGTGCTCTGTACAATAGTAGATAAGTACTTCAGAGCTCAGAGCACCTTATGAGACGAGGAACAGCGCTCACCGTGCTCAAGCATCCACCGCGGTGCCATGTTCGGCAACGAACTAAGCTCTGAGTAGGAGTCTGATGCACTACTAAGCGATGAGCCATGCCCATCGAGAACTAGAGGTTACATACCTGACAGACACTCGTCCTTCCGTGTTTTCGTCTCTTTCAAGCTTTTACGATGAGCGACTCACCCATGGCACCGCGCCCCGTCACAGGACGCGGATGGAACTGTCGAGCGTCATAACTGCGGGATGCGCGCAACAGAGGCGTACTCACTGGAACAGGACTCGAAGAGACGCATAAATAACTGTCATTCGGCGGAGGGTGCAATGGTTGCGGAGGATGCGCGCGAGCCGAGGCCGAGTCACGTACATCCATTTAGCAAGTTGGGTATGCATTGCGCGTGTTGGACGACATAGTGTCCGAGGGCGTGCAGAGATTTCGGCGGTGTTCAAAGAACGGTGAGAGGGTGTCACAGCGGACAAATCACCTTGTGAGAAGTGCTTACATAGCGCTCACAAACCAGGAGCGAGTATTTTATCAGGACTCGGTGTGAGGGGTTCTAACATAGGAAATGCACTTCCCTTGTAAGGCCTAACATTGCTTATGTTCGGAAGTCCGCAATGTTAGTATCTATGTTCTTTCCATGTTCGGGCTTTCACGCTATGCACTGTCTCTTTACTTTCAATGCGAGGACTTCTAACTTTGCGACTTAAATTAGTACTCAATCCTCCTTTGTAAGCGACATGTAGACGCGTCGTACAAAGGGTTTTGTCCGCTGTGTGTTCAAGACCTAGTGCAGAGAGGAGGCGCTCGTAAGCATTCCGGAGGAGCGGGCCGACCACGGTGGCGTCGCCGACTGCAAGTGGCTCCCTGTTGCTCTTCCTCGACCGACGCGACCTCTGCTTCGATCCTGCTCCACGCTACTCTCGCTGCTCCCGTCGGCTTACTTATTGACTCGCAGTACTTATGCTATGGTCACGCGGGTAGCAAGTGCCGCCCACCTTGCTCGATGCGCTCGACGTCGACCGACACGACCCGTCGACCTCCTCCTGCACAGGCTGCGTCTGGTTTTCTTGGATCTGCTCTTGTAGATGCCGTCGTCCGGGCGTCTCGGGACGCTTAACTTGTCTCCGGGCCCACATGAGCCTGAGGCTGGTCGCATGGGAACCCAAGTTCGTTTCTGCCCATTTCTCGGAGCCCGTCGTGCAAACAGCTGACACGTTCATCAGCTTTCTCCACGTTCCCTCGACGCGCTGTCAGGAAGAGCATCCAAGAGAGCGAGTCGTAGTGTCTGACTTATCACCTGTCGCGGGCATTTTCAGAAAGCATCTTGCGTGAGTTCTACGCATTCATCATCATGGGGCAAATAGGCTGACCTTGGTCAACGCGGTGTCGGTCCCTACACCATGGTATTCTCGCTTCGTGTTCTGATGCGTTGTCGTGACTCTGGCCCGCAGCAGCCTCGACATGCTGTCCAAACTATGGTCCCGTTCCAACTGGTCACACCGGAAACCATGAACGATCCGGAGACATAGATACCTGCATGCGCTACCTTGGCGCTACCTCTCGTCTTCGGTCGCACGGTATACAGCGTGAGTTCTTGAATGGGACAGGTACCATCCGTCTGTGCGTCCTGACCCCATTCGAGCACTGTTGCCGTTAGATATGAATCGTTGCATCCTGGCATCATCTCGCACCTGCGGCGGACCTTCCGCTCGTCCTATATGTCTCTGTACCCTGCACCGCACTAGAGGATCACTAGCTAACGAGGTTTGAACGGGCGCTGAATCGGACTCCAAGACAGTGGCGGACGTGGGTTCTATCTACTTCCTGTCTTTCTGTTTGCGCGACTCATATTGAGCCACAGTGCCAGTGCCTTGGGTCTCTCCGTTGTGGTCAAGACTGATTACTCACAAGTTCATGCACACTCCGCCAATGGAGCTTCCTTGGGGCATCCGAGCCGCGGGCTGTGAGTTCACTCTGAGGCTGTCGTAGGCTTGCGCTTAGAAGGACATACTGAGTGAGTTGGCCGTTCTTATATGCATAGATGTCTCAATTCGTCTCTAAGCAGGTCATTCGAGCACTTCTACTGCTCAAACTACGTTCGGCCCGCGAACCGACACAGCGTGGACGAAGTGTCGTAGATTAAGCAGGACGAGTGTCAAGGGCAGACGTTCTCTTGTATGCAGGGCGAGTCCTGTCACCAGATACCGTACTCGCTTACGTTCCATCTTGTCCTCCAGCCGCTAAGTATGCCTCCTCGCCGCTTTCAAGTTCAGCCACCCCTCGAGCTCCCGCATCGTCCGCGCGGGTACCACCTCATTCTCTCCCTACGTGGATGCTCCTTTGGTTTTGACCGAGACGGCTCGGCAAGCCACGAACGCGTCCAAACTCGGTTCTTCAACGACTTGCTCTTCACGAAGTCCCTGGGTGGACAGCGCAGGATCACCGGCAGTGATGCACGGCCCTCGACTGGCCCCTCGAGCACTAGTTGAGACGGAATACGACGGTTAACTGGCGATATCCGACCGGCGGTTCCATTCCCGCAGCACATAGCCAGAAACACGAAACGTGCACGTCGGCGAGGCTGCGCGGCGCGGCGCGGCGACTTTGCTCTCGACGTGCAGATCCATTGCCGACCACTAAATATGAGTTTTTGCGTCCTCGTGTCGCGCCGGTGAACATTAGACTCAACGGGGGAACCACAGACGCGTACCTTGTTCCCCGACACATGTCCAGCTGGGCCGCCTTCGCCACGTTCGAAGACCGCCATCCGCGCTTGTATACGGCCCAACACCCGCCCGTACGCCCCCAGGAGATCGGTTGGGCGTTTAGTTTTGAACCAGATCGCGCCCTCCGCCATATGTGCCTTTCGTTTTGACTTTTTGCCTCGTCTGATCGACGTGTTTTTAGGCACATCCCCCAGACCTGTCGTCGAGCCCAGAGACGCGCAGATAGCGCGACTCGCTCGCTTGAACCTCCCTGCCAACTCCTGATTTGGCCGGAAGAGCAGACGCGAGGCCGGCTCCCGAGAGAAGATCCAAGTTGTCTCTCGCCGATCTCGTTACACGCTCCCATATCACCGTGCAACCAGCACCGCCCAATGACATTAGCGTCACTCCTTCGACCCCTCCCGATCTGCCGCTTCCCATTGAACACGTTCACAAGGCGCAACTGTATTGTGTGTCCACACTGCGGCCCGTCGTCACGTCTAGCGTCAAGCCGTGCTACTCAAGGCATGTCAGGGTGTATGCATGGTTATGCGATCTCTCCGCGGCACTCATGCTACCTTTTCGCACTCCTGCAGGTCAATGCCGTACCCCGCGATGCTCACGGCTCTGTCGGCGACCCCAATCCCCGGACGGGCGGGAAGACGAGGGACAGTTGTACGGGCGTCCGGTGAGTGCTTGCAGAGAGGTCTTCGCGGCAACGACCGCTTACGTCGATCTTGCAGCACGGGGAGGTGCCGCAGGACCTTTCGAGTGGGCGTGTGCGGGCGACGATGTTCGCGTCGTCGCGCGAACGAGTCGAACAAGGGTGGAGTTCAGTCTCATAGAGGACCGGTGCGCGTCGTCCAGTTTCATCAACTTGACAAGACGCTGATCAGCAGATCAACGTCAAGGCTTGAAGCACGCTTGTGCAGCCCGAGGTCACGGTTCACGGAAGATCAAGCTGATCGTCCCACAGTGACGTGTACGGGCCGATGGTCATACACATGAGATACACCTCGCACGAATGCATGACCTTCAAGAGGATGTCACGAACTGATGTCCGCTGCATACCGGAGGATCAAGTCTCTTCATCAGTGAACGACGTGCTCGGGGAGGGATCCGGAGACCCGTCAGGACGGGCTGGCGACAACACCGACTGGACGCAGCAGGCCTCCGTGCGATCCGAACGTGCGGTGAGATGAGATGGTATGTCATCAGCGCGTAGACCCTCGTCGTCCGCTCGCAGGTGCCATTGTCGCTCTTCTAAATCTTCGCAATCCGGTGCGTACCCGTCCTCGTGGTCAGGTTCCCCTCCCACACTCACTTAGTTCAGTCGGTGTTTCCGCAGTGCGAACGGCCTTCCTCGACATGATCAGACCAGCGGGAGAGATGTCGACCTCAGTTCTACCCGTACCTACACTACACCCTTGCTCAAGACCCGCATACATTGTGCTTGTACAAGTGCGCGGTGAGTGGCGGAACTCGTGGTCCTAACGCTGCAACGGCACGCCGATGCGAGATTCCATCGTCTAGAGACGGTGAGCCGTGTGCAGCAACTTCGTGTCGTAGAGCGCGGGCAGTTCATCGATAGTATGTGTATTCCGAAGACAAATATATTTGTGATAGGAATTTGAACGGCGCATAGAGGTGAATCTAGTACTACTTATAACCCGACCGCAAGGCCCCGTGCATAGCAACAACCCCTCGAGGCAAGTATACACGATCCCTGCGTTTTCGGGTTTCACTGACATACGTACGCTTTCAGTGGCTTGGGATGACATCACTGGCCATCCCGCGCAGGCCGCCACCGCTGTCCATGAGCGATCCGCACGTCAAAGTACGATTTGTCGTGCGCGTCGTCAATTGTCGTGGAGGTGACTAAGCACCTCGTCGACCATGTCCGCTTGAGACGCGTGTACAACGTCTCGCCTCTGTCGCTGAAAGGCTCGTCGACGTCTTCAGCCACGGCCAGCGTACATGGCGGCGTGCGTTTCCACTGGAATGGCGGACGTCGAGGCCTATTTCTTGGTATAATCACTTCGAATGCGAGTACACTGTACAGTCGTTGTGCAATTTACAAGCAGGCACACATACGCTACGTCAGACAATGGATGATGAAAATTGAGTGCCCCGCGGTGTCAGGCCCTGCCATACTACTACGTGAACCATTCACCGGCTATCCCGACGCCAACCATGATGGAGCCGACTACAGTCGTCACCGGATTCATTAAGGGCGCACTCTTCATGGCTGCGTGTTGCAGGTGCGAGAACCAACTTCCCTTGGGGATGTATGCGCCGCAGAAGACGCGCTGAGCCCAAGCCGCTGTGGAACCTGCGCAGACCAACGAGATCAGCATACGGAATTCGTGTACAAGGCAAACATGTTTGTCTGTACCTGCAACGGGGCCCTCAGGGGACATGCCGAAGAGCCTAAACAACGGACGGAGGAACCACGACTCTGGGATGATGAGCATGATGCCGGAAATAATCAAAATCTTGAACAAGACTGGGTGTTGTTCCGCCGAGTCCCCTGTAAAACGTGAGATCGTAACGTATGGTATGGGCGTATGGGGTGGACCGACCGATGATAACGACGATGTCCTCGACGTGTTTCATGATTGGGTCGAGATGCTTCCGAAGCTGTTTCTCCGGCATCCCATATTGCACACCTAACTTGATGAACGCCTCTTCTGCTTTGCGCACGACCAGAGAAACGTTGCCTCTGCGCTCTGCATGGTTCGGCGCTTGGTCGTGTGGGGGAAACTGCTCCTTCAACTCCTCTAGGAGGTCCTCGAATACCTTCTCGATATCGCGCTGAATCTCGTCGAACGGCTTGTTTGCTGTTTGTGCAATTAGCTCCTTCAGGTCTTCCGTATTAGAGACAACTACTTGAATAGTGTATTGGAATTGGTGCAGCTGTGCGACGGTGGCCGCGTCAGCCTTTTGCGCAGCCTCGTGGATGAGGAAAGCCGCGTAGTCCTGAGAACGATGGCCAAGCGATTGTGCATGCTCCCAGAACTGTTGTGGTGTTTCGAGTTCGCCTAGACGACGATTGACGTCGGAAACCACTTCTGTGGTGCCACTGAGTACGTGCCAACAAGGTAGATACTAGACAGACGCAGACGTACTGTTCATGCCATTGTGTGCTTTATCGACAGCACCTTTTACTCCATGAAAGATATTTCTGTGATCATTGGTCAGTGGTACCCGACGACTCGCGGAGGTGGACTGGAGACGCTTGCCCGCCAAAGTTGGTCGTAGTTGATGCTGACACCGGCTCAGCGCCAAAGAGGACGACGGTGCCAGCAGTAAGGAGCGCAAACCAAGCTGTGGCGAATACGACGCGCATGATCGTGGCGGGTGGGGACAAAAGGGGGCTTCGCGCTCGCCGCGCCCTTCGATATGGGCGAGTGAGCGTTTGAGAAAGGAAGCGAGCGTCGACGGAACCTTAAATATTTCCACGGACAACACTTCTTGTCACAGAACGGGGCCAGAACAGGCGAGTATGTATCTTTCTCCTATGCAATGAGCGCGGGATGCGCGCAACAGCATGAAGCGTGCTCACTAGAAGAGGACTCAAAGAGATCCATGAGCAATCGTCGTTCGGCGGGGGGTGCGGAGGATGCGCGCGAGAGTCCCGCCGACGTGCATGCATTATAGCAGCCAGAAAGTTGGGTATAATCGCGGGTTTAGCTACAACAGAGTGTCATGGTGTCCGAGGGCATCGCGCGATCCATACACAGAACGGTGAGAGGGTGTTCGAGACAAGTGCAGAAAGCGGGTCCAGCGACCCCAGTCGCGGACGGACAGGTTCAAGGTTGCTCCAGACCCCGACCTCGATATCCACCAAACTCAACTCTGACGACAAATATCTCGCACCAGCTGAACATCTCCCTCGAAATGCTAGCGTTCTGTGATCTACTCCGCCGCTAGGTTACTCACCCAGGTATTCACTGCAACTCGTCCAGCTTCAGCGGCGACCTGCGATGCTCCGCAGCATACAGGCCTACACCCGGGGACCCGAAAGCCATAGATGAGGCGAAACATGCGACGTAGGGGGATTACACTGTCGCTCGGAGCTGGAAACAGGGCATCGCCAGTGTCTTGGAGGACCTGTCGTTCGGTGAGTCGCTCACTATGGTCAGATCGATACCGTGCCTGTGACATCCGACCGTCTTGACGCGTTCTCGGGCTACGCAGCGCCCTCATCGCAGTCCAAGGCAGCTCGCTCGCATGTTGACATTAGGTGCTTGGCCGTACCTAGGAACAGCAGCGCCGACGAGGACCTGAACACCCGCGACGCTCCCAGGCAGCTCGGTCGGGCCCC